CGGTTTCCCAAGTTTCAGACCCCTCATCTGTAAAACGGAAATAACAACACGACCTGCCACACCTACTTCCAAGGATCGCTGCTGAGATTGGCAGGAGGTAAGACAAGAAGTAATTTCAAACAACAAAGGACTGGATGGGGTGTTGGTTGCTACCTCAGGGGGGGATGTTGTGAGCAGGAAAGAAAAAGATACAAATGGGGTGAAAAGAAGAGAAGTTCTTCCACCTGGAAGAGAAGGGCAGGCTGCAGGCATGGTGAGGAGTAATGTTAAGCCGTTGGCTGAACACTGAGGGGAGTGGGTGGCACGAGACTGAATCATTTAGGAGCCAATTCTCATGCCAACACATTCACTTTGCACCGACCGAAGAAGAAGAAAAAGAAGAGAGATTAAGAGTGGGTGCCCAGGGCTCAGCTCCCCAAGAGAACGATGAAGTCCCACCTGGGGGGCGGGACTTAGTGATGACAGTCATGGAGACAGAATAGTGTTGCATAAGATGACAGCAGGCAAGGAGTTATTATCAAGCAGAGAAGCGTGGCCTTATCCACGGCCCCTGCGCTGTGGCTATATAAGGTATGTGATGTCTAGAGAGGGCTTATAAAAATAAAAGGAAGAGAAAAAGGAAGAAAGGCCAGTCCGTAGAATCAAACAAACCTAAGTGACTCAGGAGGCTGGTTCCCCACCGGCGGCCGTGGGGAGCTGACGCTGCTAGGAGGAGATGGGACACCCACAGCTGAGATCTGGGCGCTTGCAGCCGGCAGGAGACGAGCTCGTTTTGAACCATCACAAATCAGCTAAACGAGAAAAGGTGCCAGTTCAGAAGACCTACTTCCTTAACCCAATACAGGGCTCTTTTTAAAAAATATGTGTATGTTTTTTATTGATTTCAGAGGGGAAGGGAAACAGAGGGAGAGATAAAAAAAAACATCAATGATGAGAGAGAATCATGGATCAGCTGCCTCCTGCACGCTCCCCCTGACCAGGAATCGAACCCTGACTCCTGGTTCACAGGTGGACGCTCACTCACTGAGCCACACCGGCCGGGCCAATATGGAGATCTCGGTCCCACAGCTACAGGGGCTGGACTCTCTGCAGGGGACCCGACAGGCGACACTGACGGCCCAGAGTGACCGGTGCCCGGACGCTGGACCAGCCAGCGAAGAATCCCGGCCAGCCCTCCCCGTCCAAGTCTCCAGTAACCATGACAACCGAGGAGGTGGAGGGAAATCCAAACCCTGGCCCGGTGGGAGCCTGCTCCTCCGGGCGGAGGGCCTGGTCGGCGGAGGCCGGGCTCCAGGGGTGGCCGCCCGACTGA